CTGCTTCTCCCTCTACTCTTCCCCCCTGCTTGTGATCTCTCTTTCTCTCACTCTCTGTCAAATAAATAAATAAAATGTTTAAAAAAAAAAAAAGGGTCGGACTCTTGGCTTTGGTTCGGGTCATGATCTCAGGGTTGTGGGATTGGGCCCTGAGCTCAGCTCAGAGTCTGCTGTGGATTTTCTCTCTCTCTCCCTCTCCTTTGCCCTTCCCCCTGCTTACACGTGTGCTCTCTCTCTCTCTCAAAATAAATAAAATCTTTTTTAAAAAAATAAAACTAATCTTCCTTGAACTTACCTGGCTTTAGGTGTCAAAAGTACCCTTCTTTTGTTTTGTTTTGCTTTGTTTTCAGTGAAAAAAATTAGATTTAGGGGTGCCTGGGTGGCTCAGTTGTTAAGCGTCTGCCTTTGGCTCAGGTCATGATCCCAGGTCCCCGCATTGGGCTCCCTGCTCGGCGGGAAGCCTGCTTCTCCCTCTCCCACTCCCCCTGCTTGTGTTCCCTCTCTCGCTGTGTTTCTCTCTAATAAATAATAAAATAAAATCTTAAAAAATTTTTTTTTTTAAAAATTAGATTAAGCCACCTGGACTTCTGTTTATTTATTTAACGATTTTATTTATTTGACAGAGAGAGACACAGTGAGAGCAGGAACACAAGCAGGGGGAGTGGGAGAGGGAGAAGCAGGCTTCCTGCAGAGCAGGGAGCCCAATGTGGGGTTCGATCCCAGGACCCTGGGACCATGACCTGAGCCGAAGGCAGACGCTTAACGACTGAGCCACCTAGGCGCCCCTGGACTTCCGTTTAGATGATCCCAATTTTGTCGGCAACATGCAAAGTATCATAGTCAGGAGGCAGTCAAACATACGCCTTCTTGTCTCCATCAGGCCTGATCAGGGTGTTGAACTTGGCCACCTCAGTGTCATAGAGCTTCCTCATAGCCTGTTTGATCTGGTGCTTGCTGGCCTCGACATCCACAGTGAATGCAAGTGTGTTGTTGTCTTCTATTTTATTCGTGGCTAACTCAGTAGTAAGGGAAGACTTGATGATGGCATAGTGGGCAAGACTGTTTCTCCTGGGGGCACTCTTTCGAGGGTATTTGGGCTGCCTTCAGAGATGCAGTGTCCTGATGCATTGGAAGGTAGGCGACGTGGATTTTCTTTTTTTGTGCATTTGACTGTCGGTACCTTTCGGCACCACCTTCTTGGCCTTCCAAGCCTTTGCTTTGGCTCCTGCTTTGGGGCAGTGGGGGGTGGGGGTAGGGGATTCCTTCTTCACCTTTGGCACCATCTTCGTGAAAGGCAAAAATTCCCTTCATGAGGGGCGCCTGGGTGGCTCAGTCAGTAGAGCATGGGACTCTTGATCTCAGGGTTGTGAGTTCAAGGTCCTCATTGGGTGTGGAGCCTACTTTAAAAAGTTCCCTTCTTGGGGTGCCTGGGTGACTAAGTTAAGCATCTGCCTTTGTCTCAGGTCATGATTCCAGGGTCCTGGGATCGAGCCCTGCATCGTGCTCCCTGTTCAGCAGGGAGTCTGCTTCTCCCTCTGCCTCTTCTCCCGGGCTTGTGCTTGCTCACTCCCTCACTCACATTCTCTCTTTCTCAAATAAATAAATAAAATCTTTACTAAAATAAAATAAAAAGTTCCCTTCTTAAAAACAGTTCTCTTATCCTTAAAATTAAGTGTAAGTTAAAATATTTGCTTTGATCAGTGATCTCTTTAGTCTGTCTATTTTCAGGGAATGAAAATTTCTCTTCTTGGAGCGCCTGGGTGGCTCAGTTGTTAAGCATCTGCCTTCGGCTCAGGTCATGATCCCAGGGTCCTGGGACCGAGCCCCGCATCGGGCTCCCTGCTCAGCAGGAAGCCTCCTTCTCCTTCTCCCACTCCCCCTGCTTGTGTTCCTGCTCTCACTGTGTCTCTGTCAAATAAATAAATAAAATCTTTTAAAAAAAGGGAAAAAAAAGAAAATTTCTCTTCTCTTATCTCATCTCTTGCTCAGTCATCCATAATTTATTTTTAAAAAAGGAAAGGAAAAAAAGCATGGCTAGCATTTGAGTTTTACCGTCATTTCCCTGATGATACTTTTATCCAGTCTAGAAGTTAGAGGAATTTTTAAAAAATGTCTTCTACCTGACCCTCTTGAAGTTCTGCATTGGTATTTAATCTTAACCACTTGATTTTAATTTCCTTTTAAGCGTGCTTATTTTTTAATGAGACCAAATACTTTTGTGACTTTGTTTTTAATACTCATCTAGAATGAAATGTTTCCAAAAAGGTTAAGAATAGTTTTCTACAGATATATACATGGATTAAAATTTTCCTCTTCGGTTGACTTTTGTTGTTGTTGTTTTAGGTGGTGCTTCCTACGTTTATCCTAGAGAAGCGTTCCTTGCTGGAAATGTATGCAGACTTTATGTCTCATCCAGACCTATTTATAGCCATCACTAACGGAGCCACAGCTGAGGATAGAATGATTCGTTTTGTTGAGTACTACCTTACCTCATTTCATGAAGGCCGTAAAGGAGCTATTGCTAAGAAACCGTACAATCCTATCATTGGAGAAACATTTCACTGTTCCTGGAGGATGCCAAAAAGTGAGGTGGCGTCCAGTGTTAGCAGCAGCTCTTCCACCCAGGCAGTCACGAATCATACTCCTCTGTCGGAGGAGACTTTGAGCCAGGTGGGATCAGACTGTTACACAGTCAGATTTGTTGCTGAGCAGGTTTCCCATCATCCTCCAGTCTCAGGATTTTATGCAGAATGTGCGGAGAGGAAGATGTGTGTAAATGCACATGTCTGGACTAAGAGCAAATTCTTAGGCATGTCCATAGGTGTGACAATGGTTGGAGAAGGTAAGGAGAAAAACTGTTCTCCAATTTTTAATATCAAACTATAATCTTAAATTTGGGGAAGCTAGATAAATATTATAAATTTGAAATATTATATGTGCCACTTTTGTTCCACTTTTTTTTAAGATTTTATTTATTTATTTGACAGAGAGAGACACAGCGAGAGAGGGAACACAAGCGGGGGGAGTGGGAGAGGGAGAAGCAGGCTTCCCTCTGAGCAGGGAGCCCAATGCGGGGCTCGATCCCAGAACCCTGGGATCATGACCTGAGCCGAAGGCAGCCACTTAACCGACTGAGCCACCCAGGCGCCCCTTTTCGTTCCACTTTTTAAGTGTGTTCCAGAATGGTGGGGAAGGGGGCTCATATTTATGGACAAATATAAAGTATCTTCTTAAATTTTTTTCCTGATTTTAAATATAAAACTTTTTATTGTAGAATATTTGGAAAACTTAGAAAAGTATCAAGGGGAAAATAAACCATCTCTAATACCTCCATCCAGAGAAGGATAAGTTTAGCTAGCATTTTGTATTTTTTCTATTGTGTATATGTTCATATTTTTATTTTTGTTTTGTAAAGTTGGGATTAGTTCGCTATATATAGTTTTGTGTCCTGCTTTTTTGCAATAAATATTCATTTTCCCATGTCACTGATAATACTTTAAAACATGTTTTGATGACTGTATAATACCTATGAAATAAGATATTTACCATCTTTTATTTAACCATTTCCTCTATTTGGACATTGAAGTTGTTTCCATATTTTCATTATTATAAAAAGCACTCAAGAAATATATTACCTAGAAATATCTTCTAGCTTGATCTTTTATATCTTCTGAGGAGGTAATATTTTAAACTACATTGCCAGTCTTTAATTTCACTTCAGCAAAAGGTTATGAAAAAATAATTTAAGGTAATTCCCAAAAAATAAACAACAACAAAAAGCTTCCGCAGAAATCATTCAAGAGTTAGTGAAAATATAATGGCAGAAAAAGCCCTCCCATTTTAATGTTAAAGGAAAACCCTTGTGCATGGAATAATTTGTTCAGAATGTAAAATTACAGTGCTGGCATGGCATAATTAAGCCTATGATACTAACATTTTGAGACTGTGTTACAGTAGCTGTGAAGAAAATACTTTATCCCCCCTTTCAGTTTTCCCCATTGTTAAGATCTGCTGTGATACGAGTCTTACCAATTTCCAAATAATGTATTAAGTTAATCAAAGCTTTTATAATATTAGAAAGTACTTGTGTTTTATTAGTTAAAAAAAAAAGTTGGCCACCTTCAGTTATAAGCTTCATAACATTAGCTCTAAGATCTTCATAAATCGGTTTATTTTATAGATGAAAAAAACAAGTCTAGAGGTGATGAGACATGTTCAAGGTCACAAAAGCTAAGACATAGTCAGATTTAAAACCTCCTCATTTAACATACTGTCCCTGAGGACGCTTAGCTCCTACTGAGAATCTGGTGATGGTAAGCCTCTTCAAGAAAGGAAATGCTTCAGGAAATAAGGAAAAGCATTAATATCTTAACCTTGCATTGATCATGAAGGCAGTATAAAATAGGTAATTTTCAGTATTTCTGTGCTAATTATATATTTATGGGTTGCCTTTTAGAAATAAAAATTTCTATAGTAACCTCAATTAAAAGTAAATAAAATCAGAGAATGGGACTTAACGACAATTCATTTTGTTCTAATAGGAACATGTTTTGTTTTTATTGTTGGGGGGAAATTCCATGTAACGATGAAGTAAGTGAGGTTTTAGAATTCTTTGAATCTGTTGTCCTAATTAGTCTATTATCATGTACATTCAAAACTGATTTTAAATTATATTGTGTGTGATACTTATGGTAAATAATCTTAGAAATCAGAGATCAGAAACCCAGGTTACAAGATGACGTATTCTTAGAAAAGTAATCAAAACATATCTTTTCTAACCTAAAATGAATCAGCAGTTACTCTTAAACCCTTAAAATATACCCAAGTATGTTGTCTATATGCCTTCTGACAGCTCCCATTATATATAAATGTATTACAGCCAGAACCAGGTTCCTTATGAAATGGCTTGATAATTCTTGATTTATTGTTGCCCTTTGTGAAGACTGTAAAGGTAATACAAGAAAATAATTGGTGTTACTTTATGTAAAGTAGACTGCTTTAGAATCTCAGTTTGTCTATTTGCTTATCCTAAAAATTAACTATATTAAAATATTTATTATGACTCTTGCCCTTATTTGTGAACATTGAGAACAGGGTACTTAATGAGCATTCATTAAGAGAAAGAAAGATACCATTAGAGTTCAGACTAGTAGTACATTTTCATTCAGTATTTAGTCTGATAGTGACCCAGGTAGTGAGCTTGGGTTAGTAATGTAACTCAAATATCCTTATTGTCTCTTTATTATCTAGTATAAATTGATTATTCATTAATGTAATTTCTCTTCCTGTATTTTTTCTTTTAAAAAACCATCTTTAACATTGCATCACTTAATATAAAACAAGTCCCATTAGAATAATATTTGTTTGAAAACTGTCACTTCTATCTCTTGTGGCCTCACACCAAATACTTCAGAATTTGGCAAACAAAGTTGTTACTATGACCATAGTTTTCATAATAGAATTAGTTTTTTTCTTCCTAATATACATAGAATGAAGAATGCTTTTTTTCCCCATTGAACTGAGAGTAAGTTCCATGACTCTATAGCATTAGACATTTATTTATTCCCAAACTGAGAAAGTTATTAGTACTAATGATCAGACCGTAACATGATTCAGTATAACGTGTTCTTAAAATCTGACTTAAGGTTTTATTTTTAAGAGTCTGTTAGAGGGAAATCTTGGTCTATTCCACTTTAATATTCCCATGATCCCCAAAGGGATAGCAAAGTCATAATGAAAGTAACCTAGATTCACTATTACCAGGAATGTTATCAAATACAATTGTAAGTGAAGTTAGTTTAATCCAAAGTTAAATGAAAATTAAGCAAAATACTGATGTTTATTTACTAGACTTGAGAAAAAATAATATGGATGTTTTATAACTGTCTTTTTCTTTTTTTTTTTTTAAGATGTTAACCACCTTCATGTTTTCATATTCAGGTATCCTCAGTCTATTGGAGCATGGAGAAGAGTATACATTTTCTCTACCTTGTGCATATGCCCGGTCAATTTTAACTGTTCCTTGGGTAGAACTGGGTGGTAAAGTCAGTGTCAACTGTGCAAAAACTGGGTATTCAGCCAGCATCACTTTTCATACTAAGCCATTTTATGGTGGCAAACTACACCGGTAAGAACATTTTAATGATACCTGGCTCTTATTCTACCAGTTTGATCTTGTATTATAACTCCTTATTCTTTTCCTGCTTTGTTTTAGGTGGATGGAGTTGGCGTTTTATTTATGTCTATTTTTTTTCAAGACATTCTGGGCATCCTGATCTAGTTTCTTTGTTTAAGATTTTATTTATTTATTTTAGAGATAGAGAGTGAGAGTGTGAGTGGGGGGGACGAGCAGAGGGAGAGAGATAAGCAGATACCACGCTGAACACAGAGCCCAATGCCGGGCTCAATCCCATGACGCTGAGATCCCGACCTGAGCCAAAACCAAGAGTCGGATGATTAGCTGACTGAGCCACCCAGGCGCCCCCATCCTGATCTAGTTTTTAAAATAGTGACAGATCTGTCTACTGTTATAAAATTTTCCTGGTTAAGTAGCTAACAAGATGTAGAGTAGAATTCCTAACAAATGAACATTCAGTCTCTGGCCCAATTTCTGCCTTTAAAGGGGTTCAGACTAGATCCGGGCCTCAGTGAAGCCTGGTTGGTACAAGCTGGCATGAAAATGTATCTAATCATTATAAAATAGTTCAAGTAGCACAGTGATGGAAGCCAGTGTTTTTAGGTACTAATACTGTGAATAGGGGCTTTGTTCTGATCCCATCTAGGAAATGGCCAGTTCTTATACCCTCTTCTCAGCTTCTCTCAGTCTCTTCAGCACTGGTCCAGATCATCCAAACTGCATGAAGACGAGTTGTCTAATAGAATCTTCAAAAGGGGGGCGCCTGGGTGGCTCAGTCATTAAGCGTCTGCCTTCGGCTCAGGTCATGATCTCGGGGTCCTGGGATCGAGCCCCGCATCGGGCTCCCCGCTCAGCGGAGAGCCTGCTTCTCCCTCTCCCACTCCCCCTGCTTGTGTTCCCTCTCTCTCTGTGTCTCTGTCAAAAAAATAAATAAAATCTTTAAAAAAAAAAAAAATCTTCAAAAGGATACTGACTCTTTTCCTCAAGCCCTTCATGTCTATTCTGACTGTCCTTAAAGTAGGGATAGTTTCCTCTGTCTATAACTCTATTGATTTTTTTTTTTAAAGATTTTATTTATTTATTTGAGACAGAGAGAATGAGAGACAGAGAGCATGAGAGTGGGGAGGGTCAGAGGGAGAAGCAGACTCCCTGCCGAGCAGGGAGCCCGATGCGGGACTCGATCCCGGGACTCCAGGATCATGACCCGAGCCGAAGGCAGTCGCTTAACCAACTGAGCCACCCAGGCGCCCTATAACTCTATTGAAAAATACATCTCTTGTTGATGATTTTCACAAAGTAAAAATATGAGCACTTAGGGGCGCCTGGGTGGCTTAGTCGGTTAAGCGGCTGCCTTCGGCTTGGGTCATGATTCCAGGGTCCTGGGATCGAGCCCCATGTCGGGCTCCCTGCTTGGCGGGGAGTCTGCTTCTCCCTCTGCCTCTGCCTCTCCCCCTGCTTGTGCTCTCTCTCTGTCAAATAAATAAAATCTTAAAAAATAAAAAAAGAGCACTTAGATCCAGACATGGAACATTACCAGCATCCTAGAGACCGTCTTCATGCCGTGTTGTAATTACACACACACATACACACACACACGTACGTTAACCATTTATACCCTTCCCTCTTAGGGTAGCCACTACACTGATTTCTAACACCATTGATTAGCTTTGCCTGTTTTTGAACTATATATTATAATGAAATCATACACTGTATTCTTTCATATTTGACTTTTGCTCAATATTATGTTTTTGAGATTCATCCATGTGTAGCATGGTTCATTCTCCTTACTGAAGACTGTATTACATTGTATGACTTTGTCACAATTCACTTATTCATTCTAATGTTGGGCATTTGGGTAGTTTCCAGTTTGAGGCCATTTTTTTTTTTTTTTTAAAGATTTTTATTTATTTATTTATTTGAGAGAGAGAATGAGATAGAGCATGAGAGGGGGGAGGGTGAGAGGGAGAAGCAGACTCCCTGCTGAACAGGGAGCCCGATGCGGGACTCGATCCCGGGACTCCAGGATCATGACCTGAGCCGAAGGCAGTCGCTTAACCAACTGAGCCACCCAGGCGCCCTGGTGCTGACAGTTTTAAGTGGTCATAACCAAAGTACACTCCCTCCAGCCATGTATGAGACCTTCAACTGCATATAGCTATTTTACTTTTTCATTCTTAGACAGCTGGTACTTAACAATTTTAGAAGTGGAAAAAAAGATTGATTGGTTCCGAGACATTGAATGGGCCTTTAAAAATACAGATTTCAAAATACTAAAGCAGACAATTAAAACACACACATATTACCCAAAGAGAACCACTAGACATTGTCAGAATAGTCACCTTTTACCCTTAGAGAAGGTATTGTTATGGTTAACACTTTGCTTTGTGTGTCTCTACTTACTCCTCTTATTATAGTAATCACAGGATTCAAACCTTACAACCAGCAGGGGCTTCAGACGTCACTAGATCAACATTTACTAGGTGCATATATCCCTTTGCAACATGCCTGATAACTGATCTGTTCAGTCTGTGTTCAAACGTTTATTATTCACACAAAACTCACAGTGTGTGAGGGGCAAGCAGCCCATTCAGACTCCTTATTTATATATTTATATAAAGTTAGAGCTGAAGTCTGTACCCCTGTAACATTCTTGCCTTGGTGAAAGTATTCCTCATTCTATCTATATGCTTGAGTAGAATACTTAGGGAAAACAACTACAGGGATAAATCTTCTAAAGCCAGCACTATCTTATTGTCAGTGACACTAAGGTAATTCTTAGTGGCCTGTTGTTTATTTTTTTCTCATAAGTATTATTTTCTGGATAAGGAGACATGGAGTGATTTTAGTTGTCTTTTTGCAAACTATTTCTGGTTCCTGAAACTTCATTCTGAGAGTATGTGTATGTGCATATGTGTGTGTTACTTGAAATCCTACAGGACTCATATTACCTGTAAAAACATTTGTTTTAAAAAAAAACGTTATTTATACACAAACTTATTCTCTTGATTGAATTGTCTTATTTCCCCCAACATGGCTGTAAGCTTTTTGATAGAACTGTCCTGTTTTGGGCTTTCTGTTCCATCTGTACAGTGCTATGTACGTAGTAAGTGATCTGAAAATTTTTTGCATATTTTTCTTTGGAAAGATTAGGTGTGAGTTTCTCTCTTCTTGGGGATAGAATCTAGTCCACCCTACCAAATGGTACCTGTTCCTTTAATATATTACTCCTTTAATATATTACTGGTTAATCTCTTAGATCTGATTTTTTTAGAGCTTCACTCAGTTGATATCCCATTTCCTCCTCTAGGAGAGCCCTGCAGAGGTTTGAAAACAGCTGTTCCAGGCTCTCTTCATTTTTCTCTTCTTGGAGTTTAACATCTTCATTTCTTTGACAGTCATTCTTAATGACATGAAGAACTAAGAAGGTAGTTTTGGTATTAGGATGTTCTGCTCAGTGCCAAATAGTTGATAGTGAGATGAAAATACTAGAGCCACAGGCAAGAGTAAATCAGTGGATTTTTTTTTTTCATATTAAACTTGTAGTTTTATTCAGATTTGATTTTAACAAATGTGTCGGGGAGAGAGCCCACAGGAAAGGGTGAAGCCCATGGAGGCAGGGCCCTCCCAGATGCCTGAGGAGGGGGCAGGTCCCCTCCCTTCTCCTCCTCTTCCCTCCCCAGCTAAAGGTATTTGGGGAGAGACATAGGCATAAATCAGTGGATATTAACAACATGGGTGCCAGCTGCTGGGGCAGTGGGGGTCAGCCTCTCGGGGGACACTGACGCCTGTAAACACCAACAGGTACAGAAAGTTGTGTTGGAATGTTTAATTGGAGCTAAACTAAAACTCCAACCCAAGTCACGGTACCTTTTTTTTTTTTTTAACTTTAAATTAAGTATGTTTATCTGTATTCCTGTTCAGTCCTTGACATTTGAGTATATCTCTTAACCCTGATGGAAGAATACAATATACTATTTTGCTGACAAATCTGATCTTTATTCTGCAGGCAGTGGGGAGCCAATTAAAATTTTAAGCATGGAAGTGATATATGTTATTACTTTTATCTTTTATTTTGAAGTCATTTCGAACCTACAGAAGAGTTGTACAAACTCTCATATACCCTTTGCCTAGTTGCTAGCATTTTGCTTCATTAGCTTTATCAAAATCTCTTTTTCACTCTCTATATACATATTGTTATCACTATTATTATTCCTTAAATATTTGAGAGTTAAAGACCTCCTGACACTTGAAAATATTTTAGTCTGGGGGCGCGCCTGAGTGGCTCAGTCAGTTAAGCAGCTGACTCTTGATTTCGACTCAGGTCATGATTTCAGGGTCCCGGGCTTGAGCCCCGTGTCAGGCTCCTTGCTCAGCAGTGAGTCTGCTTGAGGATTCTCTCTCCCTCTCCCTCTGTCCCTTCCCACACTTGCACTCAGGTGCACTCCCTCCCTCCCCCCCAAATAAATATAAATCTTTTTTAAAAAACAAAATATTTTAGTCTGAATTTCCTAAGAATAAGGAAATTCTCTTATACAATCACAGAATGGTTGTCAGATTCAAGAAATTTAACATTATGTTAAATTCATGCATTCATGTCATTGTTATGTCTCTTTAGTCTTCTGGAATGTTTCCATTGCCTTTCTTTGTCTCTTACGACAATGACAGGTCAATTTTATAGAATGCTTCTCAGTTTGGGTTTGTCTTTTTTTCTTTTTAGGCTCAGGTTATGCATTTTTGACAAGAATACCTTAAGCAATTTTGTGTCTGGAAATGATATATTTTAAGTATTTATTTCTAAAAAGACCTGTCTAGTGGCAGGTGAAGAATAGACTGGGGGGCAAAGGGAATGGAGAGAGATTAGAAAAAGGGAGACTGCTTAGACCTTCAGAGTTGACCCTTTAAGCACTAACTAACAGGATGGCATCTAAGATAGCTTTGGATAATATTTACTGCCAGTAATAAACTCTAAAACATAAGTGTTTGAAACAGCAATTTATTATCTTTCACAGTTTTGTGGACTGACTAGGCTCAGTTGGGTGATTCTAACATGATGTCCTTCATGTTGGTTGAGGCTTCAGCCATCTAAGGGCCTGACCGAACTAGATATCCAGGGTTAGCTCACTCGTGTGGGAGAAGGCAAAAGATCTGGCTATGGACCAAGAGCCCAGCTGGGACTGTCATTCAGAGGGCCCACATGTGGCCTTCCTGCATGACTGAAGCTTCTTCCACCTTGACAGCTAGATTCCTAGAGGAGGCATCTACCAGTATTCTGAAAGCCTTATTGGTTGATACCTGGTTTTCATATTTTGACTTTTTGAAGACCCCTAATAATTTTCAGTAGACATTCTCATTTTTGTTAATGGTCAGTCATCGTATTTGCTCTCTTGTTTATTTCAATTTCTTACTTAAATTGGCTTCTTTTCCCCTTTCATACCCTTTACCTCTCCACAGGACACACTCATTTGATTTTTCTGTCACTTAGAAGTACTTATCTTTTTTCTAACATAGTCTCTGTCTTTCCTTTGCATCCACATATACACTCTTTCCATAACTCTTGACGGATACTGTTAGCTGACTCTAAACTTTCCACATTTTTCCATATTGATCTCTCCCAAGACCAGTGGTTTCATCTAATTTCTCATTTAAAAGATTCCTATTAGAAATAGACTTTTCCATTTTTGATATCTTTTCTTTTTTGATTTTATAGAATGTTATAATGAAGGCTTTCTTTCATGCCTTTATCAATGGCTGTGCCTCCCTCCTCAGACAGCCTCGTTTTTTACTGCTATCTGCAGTCAGAGCAGACACATGATCTGCTGTCTGCATTTGATATAAATATATTATCTTTCACTTGTCTTCCCTTACTCCCTCATTTTCCACAACTCTCTCTGATGCAGCCAGGTGAGCCTACTTAACTATTCCTCAGGTCCATGTCTATCTCCTGGTCCCATTTTCCACACTCACTTTAGGATGATGATGATTTTATAAAATCATCCTAAAGCGAGGTGTGAATTATCAATATAGATAAATAGATACAGCACTCTATCTATCTATCTATCTAATGGTATGATATTAAGATTATGTGAACTGTGTGCCAAGTGACACACTTTCCTGCATACTGGCGGTACGGTATAGAAAGACTACCTCTGCCTTCAAGAAGCTTTCCATGTAGTATTAGAATCCAGCACCCTATCTTTGGAAACCATTTGTAAGGCTTTTAGGAAAAATATCATATATAACAGTTAAAAACAGTCTATTATTATAATGATCATAGCAGTGGAAAAGGGATTAGATAATGATTATACCTGAAAAGAAAATTTAATTCCAACTCAGGTTAAAGTAAAAAAAAGAAACATGGTGCTCAACATATTTCTCATTGTCTGATAAAGGAAGCCTATCACTTTTTCAAGAGAGACAAACTGTTTTCCTGGTATTAAAATTTAAAGGGATTTGTTGCAGGTATCCTTACGTAGTGGCATTTAGAAACATAAATAGGCAAGAAACCCGTCAGAGTGGAATTATTTAAGTTCCTATGCTTTGAAGTATAACTGAGTTCCCATCTGTACTATAGTCAAGCAGACTTGTAGCCATGGTGTTCTTTGTGTCCAGTGAGCTGTCATTACACATAACTTTGGTTTTGGATGTTTGGTTTGCTTTTGGATTCCAAATCCCTCTTACCCCAATCTCCAAAATCTGGTTCATAGATCATTTACTTATTGGCCCCTGTATCTCTGCCTTGAGTTCTGAGTTTACAGACCTTTAATTAACTTCTCCTGATTGATAACAATGGATAGGCTCCCTAAATTTCACTGTGTCTTTCTGGTTCCTAGGCCCTTGGCTTACAGCTGACAAATACTGCTTAGGCTTCCTGTAGCTTGAACCACTGGGCTTTGGTCGGATTGCCTTTGGAATCCAGATAAACCACAATCACTGGCGCACTGATTAGACCCTAACATTTGCCCACTATTCTCTAAGTTCTGGACCTCTATCTTATCTGACGCTGTTGTTATTTATGTTCTATGGTGAACACAAAATGCTTCATTAAAAATATTTAGACCTGGGGGCACCTGGGTGGCTCAGTTGGTTAAGTGGCTGCCTTCAGCTCAGATCATGATCCTGGAGTCCCGGGATCGAGCCCCACATCGGGCTCCCTGTGCAGCAGGGAGTCTGCTTCTCCCTCTGACCCTCCCCCCTCTTGTGCTCTCTCTCACTTTCTCTCTCTCAAATAAATGAATAAAATCTTAAAAAAAAAAATTAGACTTGTTTATTCCGATCTTCATTTGAGCTGTATCCTGTCTGTTGATAAACTAGTCAGATAACTTACTCCTCATTAAACTTTCAACAACAATAGTGTTTGAGTTCTCTTGCAGTTCTGTGTTGATGATGATAATTTTTGTATACTGGTACTCTTTTAATTTTTCTATTTTGGCAAGAGAATATTAAATTTTTTTATTTATTTTTTCAATTTTTCTGCCTCTTACTGGTTTAGTTGGTTTCTATATTTAATTTAAGATTAGGCTTATGTGATTTTGTACAGAATTGATATATCCAGAACTTCAAATATAGGGACTCCAAACTTTTAAGTAAATAGGACTAGTTTTTTTAAAAACGTTAAATTATAATGTTGTAACCTTTTAAAACTGTAATACAAAAGAAATGTTAATATTTTTCATATTTCTATTTAGTTTTAATATTATAGTTTTGTTTGGAGCAAGCATTTAAAGATCACACCTTGTGATCATTTATGGTAACTTAGTCTCTAGTTTGAGTCCCAGTATTCTTTCTAAAAGATTAAAGTTGACGTTATTTGAAAAAATTATCTAGTAAGCTGTCATGGGATTTACAGAGTTTGACTTTGGCACTGACAAATTTAAGTGAGCTATATAACCAATTTAAACAGAATTCAGAAAGTATGTTTTTAGGTTTCAGAATACTAAGAAACAAGCCTAATTTCACTTATTAGAGCATATTTTTATTTCTTACCTGCTTCTAGGGTTACAGGTGAAGTAAAGCACAACATCACCAATACTGTGGTATGCAGAGTGCAAGGCGAATGGAATAGTGTTCTTGAGTTCACTTACAGCAATGGAGAGACAAAGTATGTGGACCTGACTAAATTGGCAGTAACAAAGAAAAGAGTAAGACCTCTGGAGAAGCAAGATCCATTTGAATCCAGGTATGTCACCCTCACACCCATCCAGGAAAGAGTCTGAAGCTCTGGATCTTAATCTAAGTCTTTTCACTAGTTTCAGCCTTGGGCAAGTCACTTCACCAGTTTGCAGTCAAAGGATTACTAATCCTTATCATAAAAACTCTTACAAATTATTAACAAAAAGACAGATGCCTCAACAGAAAAATGGGCAAAGAACATAAAGAGGCAGTTCAAAAGTAGAAAAAAAATGCCCACTAAGAATGAAAAACTATTCAATGTAATTAGAATTCAAAGAAATATAAATTAAACAATAAATTAGTTTTTAAAATAATACCTCTTTTGAGAAAACATGAGCAAATAGGCATTTTCATACTGCTGGTTAGAAGATAAATTGGTACAACCTCACTAGAGGGTATTTTGGCAATTTATGAAGTTTCCTAGATGTGTTCATAGTGGTTGCTTCGAGAGAGGAGTACTGGGATCTAGGATAGGAAAGAGACTTAACCTTTCAGAGAGTCTTTCCCACCCCTTTTTAAAAGATTTTATTTATTTATTTGAGAGAGAGAATAAGCAGAGAGGAAGGACAGAGAGAGGGGGAGAAGCAGACTCCCCGCTAAGCAGGGAGCCTGACATGGGACTTGATCCCAGGACCCTGGGATCATGACCTGGGCTGAAGGCAGACGCTTAACTGACTGAGTCACCCAGGTGCCCCATAGAATCCCCCTTGAACTGTTTAAATTTTTATCTTGTGGAAGTATTGCTGTTATCAATTTAAAAAAGAAAAAGGGAAATAAAAGGAAGCATTAAACATCTTAAGATCATATAAATAGAACTAAACCATTTATAATTGTGTGTGTAAAGGAATTAAATACCCATTAACCAAAGACTCAGATTGTATCAAGAAACAAAACAGTAGTGATTGGGGAGAAGTTTTCTTCTAGGGATTTATCTGAAAGGAGAGGTTTTTTTTTTTTTTTTAAAGATTTTATTTATTTATTTATTTGACAGAGAGAGACACAGCGAGAGAGGGAACATAAGCAGGGGGAGTGGGGGAGGGAGAAGCAGGCTTCCCGCCGAGCAGGGAGCCCGATGTGGGACTCGATCCCAGGATCCCGGGATCATGACCTGAGCCGAAGGCAGACGCTTAACGACTGAGCCACCCAGGCGCCCATGAAAGGAGAGGTTTTTTAATTTTAATTCCAGTGTAGTTAACGTAGAATGTGAGATTAGTTTTGGGTGTCCAATACAGTGATTCAAAAGGAGAGGTTCTTCAGGTTTGGTCTGGGGACCCCCAGCTGTCCTTGAGATTTTCAGGAGGTTTGCAAGTTCAATTTTATTTTCATAATAATGCTAAGATGTTATTTGCTCTTTCAGTCTGTTGGCACTTGTGTTGGTGGCCCATAAGCAGTGGTGGGTAGCACTGCTGGTCTCAGCACTAATCAAGGCAGTGACACACAACTCTACAGTCATTGTATTCTTCACTGCCCATGTACTTGCATTTTTTTAAGATGCCAGGTTGTTTTGGGTTTTTTTGTTTTTAATGTCCTTTGAAAAGCAGTACCGGGGCACCTCGGTGGCATAGTTGAGCCTCCGACTCTTGGTTTTGGCTCAGGTCATGATCTCAGGATCGTGAGACTGAGCCCAGTGTTGGGCTGGGCTGGCACTTGGCATGGAGTCTGCTTGAGATTCTCTCTCCCTCTCCCTCTGCCCCACTCACTCATGCTCGTGCACGCTCGCTTGCTCTCAATAAAAACAAATCTTAAAAAGGAAAAAAAATGAGTACAGACTGTTAGTTTTATTAAATCTGTACAATTGAGTACCCATCTTTTTAATATTCTACATGACAGATTGGTAGTACACATAAAGCACCAGTGGTAGATACTGAGAAGTATGGTGGTTATCTGGAGGAAAAGCACTTGTGCAGTTGTTGGAGTTACAAGCTGAACTAATTGCTCTTTTCATAAACAATATTTCTGCTTAAAAGAATGATTGGCGGGGCACCTGGGTGGCTCAGTCAGTTAAGTGTCTGCCTTGAGCTCAGGTCATGATCCCAGGGTCCTGGAATGGAGCCCCACGTCAGACTCCCTTCTCAGTGGGGAGCCTGCTTCTCCATCTGCCACTTCCCCTGCTTGTGTTCTCTCTCTCTCTCTTTCAGATAAATAAATAAAAACTTAAAAAAAATTTTTTTTAATTAAAAAAAATGATTGGCAAACCATGACTTCTAATTTCAGTATTGGGCAGACATTTTTCTTATAAATGAATGACATGAACGTGACACTTCAAGGAAAACAATTGACAGTATTTTTTGCTAATAATAAAATTTAAATGGAAACAATGTAGGATTGACCTAAATGTGAAACCTGAAACCATAGAAATCCTAGAAGAGAGAGCACAGGCAGTAATTTCTCTGACATCAGCTATAGCAACATTTTTCTAGATATGTCTCCTGAGGTCAGGGAAATAAAAGCAAAAATAGACTATTGGGACTACATCAGAATAAAAAAAGTTTCTGCACAACAAAACTAAAAGGCAACCTACAGAATGGGAGAAGATATTTGCAAACGACATTTCCGATAAAGGGGTAGTATCCAAAATATATAAAGAACTGATAAAACAACAAGTGTTGGTGAGGATGTGAAGAAAAAGACACCCTCTTACACTGTTGGTGGGAATGCAAACTGGTGCAGCCACTTTGGAAAACAGTATGGAGGTTCCTCAAAAAATTAAAAATAGAACTGTCCTATGATCCAGTAATTGCACTACTGGTTATTTACCCCAAAATACAAAAACACTAATTCAAAGGGATACATGCCCCTGTATGTTTATAGCAGCACTATTTATAATAGCCAAACTATGGAAGCAGCCCAAGTGTCCATCAATAGATGAATGGATAAAGAAGATGTGGTACAGACACACACACACACACACACACACACACAGGAATAGTACTCAGCCATAAAAAAGAATGAAATGTTGCCATTTGCAATGACATGGATGGAACTGGAGATTATAATGCTAAGCTAAATAAGTCAGAGAAAGACAAGTACCATATGATCTCATTTATATGTGGAATTTAACAAACAAAACACATGGAGAGAGAGAAAAAGAGAAGCAAACCACAAAACAGACTCTTAACTATAGAAAACAAACTGATGGTTCCCAGAGGGGGAGGTGGTGAGGGTTGGGAGAAATAGAGGATGGGGATTAAAGAGTAAAGCTACCATGATGAAAAAGTAAATAAAGTGAAAAAAATTTTTAAAAATAAAAAGAAGGGAGAGAAAATGGAAAGTAAATAAATAAATAGACGGAAACAACTTAAGTGTCTTAAGATGAATGGATAAGAAAATGTAGTATATAGGGTGCCTGGCTGGCTGAGTTGGAAGAGCATGCGACTCTTGATCTTGGGGTTATAAGTTTGAGCCCCATGTGTGGGGTCAAGATAACTAAAAAAATTTTTTTTAACTTAAAAAAAAGTTGTAGTATATATATACAATAGAATTATATTCAACCGTAAAAAAGAAGGAAATCCTGCCATTTGTGACATGGATGGACCTTGACGGTATTATGCTAAATGAAATAAGTCAGAAAGACAAATACTGTATGGTCTTACTTATATGTACAATCTAGGCAAAATAAAAACCTCATGGAAAATAGATCAGATTTGAGGTTACCAGAGTTGGGGGTTGGGGAGTGGAAGAATTGGATAAGGGTGATCAAAAGGTACAAACTTCCAGTCGTAAGATAAACAAGTACTAGGGGTTGTAATGTACAATATGATGACTACAGTTAACATTGCTGGTGGTATATTTGAAAGTTGTTAAAAGAGTAGATCCTAGGAACTCTAATCACAAGGGAGAAAAAACTTTTTTCTTTTGTATTTATATGTAATGATGGCTGTTAACTAAACTCAGTTTGGTAGCTATTTCACAGTATATGTAAGTCAAGTTATTATGCTGTACATCTTAAACTTAAATAACAGTGCTGTATGTCAATTGTATCTCAGTTAAATTGGAAAAACTATTTAAGCTCAAGGCAAAAATCAGAATTTTGGAAAACTTGTATCTGCTACCTGAGTGTGAAAGCTTCCCAAGTAGAGGGTTTTCTGATGAAATTGGTGGTGATAGTAATGAATGTGATTTTTTTTATATTACATAATAAAATGTCAACATCTGAAAGATCATTTTTCAAGTGAACAATGTATGATATTACAAAATCATTCAAGATCCATTCAAAAATCCAGTCAAGATGAATGGATAAAGAAGATGTGATATATATAATGGAATATTACTCAGCCATCAAAAAAATGAAATCTTGCCATTTGCAATGATGTGGATGGAACTAGAGTGTATTACGCTAAGTGAAATAAGTCAGAGAAAGACAGATCCCATATGATCTCACTCATGTGGAATTTTTTTTTTTTTTAAGATTTTATTTATTTGACAGAGAGAGACACAGTGAGAGAGGGAACACAAGCAAGGGGGGTGGGAGAGGGAAAAGCAGGCTTCCTGCCGAGCAGGGAGCCCGATACGGGGCTTGATCCCAGGACCCTGGGATCATGACCTGAGCCTAAGGCAGATGATTAACAACTGAGCCACCCAGGCGCCCCTCATATGTGGAATTTAAGAAAGAAAACAGATGAACATATGGGAAGGGGAAAAAGAAAAAAAAGGAGAGAGGGAAACATGCCATAAGAGACTCTTAAAGATACAGAACAAACTGAGAGTTGATAGAGGAAGGTTGGTGGGCAGTGAGCTAGATGGGTGATGGGTATTAAGGAGGGCATTTGTTATGATGAGCACTGGGTATTGTATTTAAGTGATGAATCACTGAATTCTACTCCAGAAGCCAATATTGCACTGTGTGTTAACTACCTAAAATTTAAATTAAAAAAAAAAACAAACAAAAAACCCAGTCAAGATGCCAGTTAGACAATGAATCTCCATGTAGCACAGTATAAAAAAATTCATTGACATCTTTTGGTTTCCACACTGCAGGCAGCCTTTAAAAAACTACCACTTGGGGCTCCTGGGTGTCTCAGTTGGTTAAGTGTCCCAACTCGTGGTTTCGGCTCAGGTCACTATCTCAGGGTCATGAGATCGAGTCCCACATTGGGTTCTGCACAGCACAGAACCTGCTTAAGAGTCTCTAAATAAATAAAATAAATAAATAAGAATAAAAAAACTACCACCTGCTGAATTTAATATAATACCAAAGAATTGAATTACTTGAAAAATATGTTAAAATATTCTCTTTTCCAACTATGTATCTGTGTGAGGCCAGATTTTCTTAAGATTTATTTTTTTTTTAGAGAGAGAGTGCCACCAGTTTTGCCATTTATTCTCTGTGGATTTCCTTCGTCTGTTATTCTTCTTTTTTTCCTAAAGATTTTATTTATTTATTTTAGAGAGAGAGAGAGAGTGCACGTGAGGTGGGGGAAGGGACAGAGGGAGAGGGAGAGAGAGGATCTCAAGCAGACACTGAGCACAGAGCCTGATGTGGGGCTTGATCCCAGGACCCTGAGATCATGACCTGAGCAGAAACCAAGAGTCGGCCACTTACCCCACTGAGCCATCCAGGTATCCCTAGACTTTCTTTATATAATTTAATTAAAACAATATATCAGAACAGATTGAATGTAGAAAAAGTTATAAGAATCCAGCAGCTATTAAAACAGACAAATGTTTAAGAGATACTGTTGTATTCTCTTTGCTAAAATTTTATTAAGGATTTTTTATGTCTACATTCATGGGGGATATTGGTCTGTTGTTTTCTTTGAGGGAGTTTTTAACTACAGTTCAATATCTTTATAGGGATATTGAGGTTGTCTTTATTCTTGAGTGAAGGTTGGTAGTTTGTGTCTTTTAAGGAATTGATTCATCTAGTTTGTCAAATTTATTGGCATATAGTTTATAATATTCCCTTACTTTTCTTTTAATGTGTGTAGGATCTGTAGTGATGTCCCCACTTTCATTCTCTATGTTGGTAATATTTTCTTTTCCTAATCAATGGGATTAAAGGTTTTTATTAAGGATTAAAGGATTATTAATTTTACTCAAAGAACCAGCTTTTTGTTTCACTGCTTTTTGTCAATATTTCTATTTTGTTATTCATTGATTTCTGCTCTTTTTGTAATTTCCTCTTTTATGCTTACTTGATACATCATTTGCTCTTCCTTTTTCTAGTTTCTTAAAAGGGAAGCTTAGGTCAGGGATCAGCGAACTTTTCTATAAAAGGCCAGAGAGTAAGTATTTTAGGCCTATTAGGCCAGATAGTCTCTACCACAACTACTCAGCTCTGCCACTGAAGCATGAAAGCAGCCACAGATAATGAAAGGACAGATAGATACCACTATGTTACAGTAAAAATTTATTCACAAAAATGGACAGCCAACCATAGTTTGACCCCTCATTAGGCTGATTTTTCTTCTTTCCTGCTATAAATATTTAATATATTTCTAAGTCTGCTTTATCTATATCTCACAACTTTAGAACTTTTGATACGTGTTTTTTTTATTTTCCTTGTGATTTCTTTTTGGACTCATGAAGTTATTTAGTAATGTATTATTTAATTTCCAAATATTTGGAAATTTTCCAGTCATCTTCCCATTATTCATTTTTAATTTAACTTAATTTTGGCCAAAGGATATACTTGGTATGGTTTCAGTCCTTCAAATTTATTGAGATTTGTTTTATGACCCTGAATACATTCTGTCTTGGTAAATGTTTCATGTGCACTTGACAAGAATGTGTATTCTGTTGATGTTAAGTGACAGTATTCTATAAATATCAATTAGCTCAAGTGGGTTCATAGTATTTTTCTAGTACTCTGTGTTGTTACTAATTTTCTGTGTACTTGTTCCATTAGTTGAGATCAGTTACTGAAATTACCAATGTAACTGCATATTTCTCTTTGTAGTTCTCTAAGTCTTCATGTTATTTGAAGCTCTGTATTAGGGACATACACATTTGGGATTGTATGTCCTCTTGATACACTGAACCCTGATCATTATAAAATGACCTTCTTTATACCTCGCGATAGTTCTTGCTTTGAATTCTACTTTAATACTAAAATTGCCACTTAAAAACGTTATCAAGATGTATTTTACATATTATAAAACTCACCTGTTTCAAGTGTATAATTCAGTAATTTTTAGCAACTTTCTTGAGCAGTGCAGTCATCACCATAAATCAGCTTCACAGTCTTTATCCTCCCATACGATCCTCATTCCCATTTACAGCTAATGTCCATTCCATTCCTATCCCCAGTCTCAGGGAACGTACTTTTTGCCTATAAATTTGCCTTTTCTGGACACTTCAGATAAATGGAATCATATAATATGTGATATCTTGTGCCTGGCTTCTTTCACTTAGCATAATGTTTTTGAGGTTCATCTATGATATAACATGTATCTATAGTTCATTTTTTATATTGCTCAAAAGTATTCCATTGTATGGAAACACATTTTGTCTATCCATTCACCAGTTGATGGGCATTGCCAGTTTTGGACTATGATGATTAATACCACTATGAACATTATCGTTTGGGTGGATATGTTTTCATTTCTGTGGGTAAATATCTGAAATTGTAATTGCTGGGTTGTCTGGAGGTTTTACATTTAACTTTTCAGGAAACTGCCAAACTATTTTCCTAAATGTCTACACCATTTTACTTTCCTGCCAGCAATGTGTAAGTGTTCCAGTTCTCCACATCCTTATCAACATTTGTTATTGCCTACCTTATACCCATTATACCCCTTCTAGTTCATATGAAATAGTCTTATTATGGTTTTAATTCACATATTCCAAATGACTAATGATATTGAACATATTTTCAAGTGCTAATTAATTACCCATTTGTTTATCCTCTTTGGTGAAATGTGTGATTTTCTTCTTCTTGGGTTGCAGGAGTTCTTCGTGAATTCTGAATACAAATCCTTTATTGGATGTGTGTTTTGCAAGTATTTTCTCCTTGTCTGTTGCCCATTTTTAAATTTTCGTAGTGGGTTTTTTTCAGTATAGGTTTTTGTTTTTTTGAGATGAGATTATCGATGTTTTCTTTTACGGATTATGGTTTTGGTGTTGTATCTAAGAAATCTTTGCCTAACCCAGACTCAAAAGATTTTCTCCTATGTGTTCTTGTAAAAGTTTTCATATGTGGTAAGGGTCTGAGGTCCTCTTTTTGCTTGTAGATATCCATTTGTCCCAGCACCATTTGTTCAACAGACTGTTCTTTCTCCCAAAGAGTTGTCTTGGCAGTTTTCTTTTGCTTGGAGTTAGTTGAGCTTTCCTCCTCCTGCTGTGCCTATAAACTCTAGCCAGTGAGTTGGAGCACCCATAGGAATCCCCTCATTTATTTCCCTTCTCTCAGGAATCACCATCTTGTGCTGCCTTTTGCTCAGTATCTGCAGGCTCCATTGTTTCAATATATTTTGCTGGTTTCCTAGCTGATTAAAGGCAGAAGGGTTAAGTCTGGTCCCCATTATGTTGTCATGTGCAGAAGTAGAAGTTGTCTCTCTTACCTTTCATGAAGCTTTTAAAAAATTTATTTATCTTTTTGCTTATTATTTCCTGAGTTTCTTAAAAATAAAAATCTTACTTGGTAAAATACAAATTATTTATCCTTTCTGATGGTTGAGTAATATTCCATTGTATATATGGACCACATCTTCTTTATCCATTCATCTGTTGAAGGGCATCTCGGCTTCTTCCACAGTTTGGCTATTGTGGACATTGCTGCTATAAACATTGGGGTGCATATGGCCCTTCTTTTCACTACATCTGTGTCTTTGGGGTAAATGCCCAGTAGTGCAATTGCTGGGTCATAGGGTAGCTCTATTTTTAACTTTTTGAGGAACCTCCACACTTTTCCAGAGTGGCTATACCAACTTGCATTCCTACCAACAGTGTAAAAGGGTTCCCCTTTTGAACTGGAGGAGATTATGCTAAGTGAAATAAGTGAAGCAGAGAAAGTCAATTATATGTTTTCACTTACTTGTGGAACATAAGGAATAGCATGGAGGACATTAGGAGAAGGAAGGGAAAAATGAAGGTGGGGGGAATCAGAAGGGGAGATGAACCATGAGAGACTATGGACTCCGGGAAAAAAACTGAGGGTTTTAGAGGGGAGCGGGGTGGGGGGTGGGTTTTAAGGAGGGCACATAGTGCATGAAGCCCTGGGTGTTATACGCAATGAATCATGGAACACTACATCAGAAACTAATGATGTAATGTATGGTGATTAACATAACATAATAAAATAGAAAAAAATGCAAAAAAAAACTAACGATGTACTGTATGGTGACTAACATAACAATAAAAAATACAAATTATTATCATTTTTAAAAGATTTTATTTATTTATTTGACAGCGAGAGAGGGAACACAAGCAGGGGGAGTGATGGAGGGAGAAGCAGGCTTTCCGCAAAGCACGGAGCCTGATGCGGGGCCAATCCCAGGACCCTGGGATCATGACCTGAGCCGAAGGCAGATGCTTAACGACTGAGCCACCCAGGTGCCCCAGAAATACAAATTATTTTTAATTTGAAAAGAAAAAGCAGAAGCAACAGCATCTTGGACATTAATATCAGCACCATAATATTCCGTGTTCTTATAATTCATAAACGTAAAATCATATATCTGATTCAGGAAACATAATTTTTTAAAATTAACTTAATTTCAAGGGTATCAGTTCTATTTAATTATCTTTTTTAAAAGAATGCTTGTGGGTTGCCTGGGTGGGCTCAGTCGGTTAAGTGTCTGCCTTACATGATCCCAGGGTCCTGGGATCGAGTCCCACATCAGGCTCCTTGCTCAGGGGGGGTCAGTTTCTCCCTCTCCCTCTGTGTGCTCTCTCAAGTAAATAAATAAAATCTTAAAAAAAAAAAAGAATGCTTGTAAGATTTGTGGTTTTTCTAATTATAGGCGATTGTGGAAAAATGTGACAGACTCTCTGAGGGAATCTGAAATTGATAAAGCCACAGAGCATAAACGCACCCTGGAAGAACGCCAGAGGACTGAAGAAAGGCATCGAACTGAAACAGGCACACCCTGGAAAACCAAATATTTTATTAAAGAGGTTTGTCCTACATGTCTTCAGACTAAAACTCATTATCTACTTAGTGAGAACTTTAGCTTACTAGGCTTTATTGAATTGTTATCACTTACACATCTTTATTTCTGAAACTAGTCCAGCTTAACCATGAGCTTTTTCATGAGCTTTTCACAATTTGCCAAAGTAAAATAGTTTAGTAGCAGTTCAGATGAAGTAGATTTTAGGATTAAATTGGTCAGAAACAAAAATGCTATAACAATCTCCAATCACAGTAATAGATTATACAATTTATAATTTATTGCCTTTTGAACCACACTGAAACTCTGTGTTCACTTCCAGAGACCACCTTTTAGAGGGAGACATGAGAAACTTAATTAGCTACACAGTGGGTAGTGAAGTGGCTAGAATCTTTACAATGTTGAAGGAAAAAAGAATAAAGTGGGGTGTTTTGCCTTGAAAACCGAAAATTAGGACCATTTGTTGTAACCTTCTTCAGATATGTGTATGTTTTATCATGTAGAAATTTTTTATCAGTTTGTATAGCAGTCCTGAGGTAGGTCCATCCTACCAGGAATTTTGAGCTTAGCATAGGAAGGAATTGTACAACAATCAAAAATACCCAATAATAATAAGGGAGTACATTTTATAGTAATGCATCATTAGTCCTTTATGAGACCATGGCTTATGTGGAAGACTTTGATGCACTGATTTTGCAGCTGGACTAAATAATTTCTGGAGTCTTATCTAAATTTAAAAATTTTTGTTTTGTTTATTACTTTCTGGTAGAACTCAGAGTAAGGTGAATAGCGGACCAGAGCTGATACCAAGAAAAGTTTTCTTGTCACGGGCGCCTGGCTGGTTCAGTCAGAAGAGCATGCAACCCTTGATCTTGGGGTTGTGAATTCCAGCCCACATTGGGTGGAGAGATTACTTAAAGAGAAAAAAAGGAGAGGGGTGCTCCTGGGTGGCTCAGGTCATGGTCCCAAGGTCCTGGGATCGAGTCCTGCATTGGGCTCCCTACTCAGTGTCTAGTCTGCTTCCCCCCTGCTCCTCCCCGCCCGCCCCTAACCCCGCCCACCCCCCCTGCTGATGCTCTCTCTTTTCTCTCTCTAAAAATAAATAAAATCTTTAAGGAAGATTGGGTGGCTCAGTCGTTAAGCGCCTGCCTTGGGCTCAGGTCGTGATCCCGGAATCCTGGGATCAAGCCCCGCATCGGGCTCCCTGCTGGGTGGAGAGCGTGCTTCTCCCTCTCCCATTCCTCCTGCTTGTGTTCCTTCTCTCGCTGTCTCTCTCTCTGTCAAACAAACAAACAAATAAATAAATAGAAAAAAAAAGAAAAGTTTTCTTGTCGATAGCCAAGTCTAAAGAAGCGCACTGAATTTTAATATTGGTCCATCAGGAAGGAATTTGCAAAAAGTAATTTGATCTTGATTTTTGCATAGTTATTAACCCTAAAAATCCATAGTTTATTATAGTAGCTTCATTACCTTCATTTTTCTAATCACTGAGTATCTATTAAAAATACTGGCCATTTTCATAGATTGAAATAATAAAGGGAAAAGTACATATCTACTCTTTTTATCTGAAAAAATAAAACTTTGTAGTTTATTCAAAGTTATAGTCCGGTAGCTTTGGATTTTTTTCATTTCAAAGAAAGCAGATATACCAGGAGTAGATTCTAGGAGGAGAATTTCTAAGGGAGGAGCTCTGTAAATCATTAAAAGTGAACTCTGGGGGTCAAGAGCAGGGGCTATAATGGCTAAAAGATATAGGGGCGCCTGGCTAGCTCAGTCAGTAGAGCATGCAACTCTTGATCTCGGGGTTGTGAGTTTGAGGCCTACGTTGGGTGTAGAGATTCCTTAAAAATAAAATCTTAAAAAGATACAATTAATGAAATTTTTAAAGATAGGCACCCTGATTCTTGCTAATAACATGACATGTAAAATTGCTACTTGTCATTTATTCTTGGACAGGTATTTTTAAGAGCCACTACCAGTCTAGCATTCAGTGATGTGATTAGTTGACATCTTTTTCAAAGAACAGTACTATAGGAATTGAGAATTATCAACCAGGTGAAAAACAACCTAATGGTTGCTATTATTTTTTTAAAGATTTTATTTATTTGAGAGAGGGAGCGAGCATGGGGGGAGCAACAGACTCCCCACTGAGCAGGGAGCCTAACATGGGGCTCGATCCCAGGACCCGAGATCATGACCTGAGCCGAAGGCATACAACTTAACTGACTGAGCCACCCAGGTGCCCCTAATGGTTGCTATTATTAAAGAAAAATTATTTTGATACTTATTAAAAACATCAAGGAAATCTTCATTCAGGACTATTGTAAGAGGGATTGAACTCAACTCCAAATACAGGGACAAGTGGAAATGTGAGGGAGTGGGTGGAAAAGAGAATCTTGGTTAGATATCAAGGATGGGGTGGGGAGAGAGGAACTTGATTAGATATCAAGGGTGGGAGAAGAGGAATTTCAGAATCAAGGATTTGGGGTGCGGGTGGTTCTTGGTAAACTGGCTTATCAGAATTCTTTGCTAAAATTGGGCTCAGTAGGCCATGGATGAGGTCTAGTCAAGAAGAGTGCTCAAAGTAGTCCGACTAAAACGCAGTCAAGGAGAGAATGAGTCCTTGTCATTAGGAGCCAAGTAATTACCGGCCTTAAGTCATTTTATTTTTTTTATTTATTTTTTTAAAGAATTTATTTATTTATTTGACAGAGACAGAGACAGCGAGAGCAGGAACACAAGCAGGGGGAGTGGGAGAGGGAGAAGCAGGCTTCC